CGAAGGTAGATGTCATTACTTTTTTCCAACTTTAGTAATTTCTGATATTAACTATAATCATTATCATTACTATCATTAATGTTGTCATTACTATTATCTTTATCAGTATCATAAATATTGTCATTATCATCCTCACCATTATCGTCATTCGTAATAGTAGGCCTATCATTATTATTATAATCAGTATCATTAACGTTATCATCATTACTGTCATTATCATTATTATCATCATTACTGTCATTATCATTATCATCATCATTACTGTCATTATCATTATTATCATCATTACTGTCATTATCATTATTATCATCATTACTGTCATTATCATTATATCATCATTACTGTCATTATCATTATTATCATCATTACTGTCATTATCATTATTATCATCATTACTGTCATTATCATTATTATCATCATTACTGTCATTATCATTATCATCATTATTACTGTCATTATCATTATATCATTCTGTCATTATCATTCATCATCATTACTGTCATTATCATTATTATCATCATTATCATTATTATCATTATGTCATTATTATTATCATTACTGTCATTACATGTCATTATCATTATCATCATTACTGTCATTATCATATTATCATCATTACTGTCATTATGTCATTGTCATTATCATTATTATCATCATTACTGTCATCATCATTATTATCATCATTGCCATTGTTATTATTCATCACATTCAAAATGCAGTTTAGAGGCGCCGCTCCGAAAAGGTGTGACGGATGTACCTACGCCCGCCATATTTAAAGGGAAAGCGAGATCTCAAACCCCAATCGCCTCTACTCTATCATAGCCTTCCACAGACCGATTCGGCGACGCCTAGCAACCGCCCCTAGCAACGAGCACTTGGTGAAAGCAAGCCCTCGTTCGACTGAAAAGTCACTGCGCCTTGCTTACAGTGAATTTTTCTGAGAATTTCGTTTCTTTGAGTGAAAATGCCAAGGAACTGTGTTGTCGTTGGTTGTTCGAGCCACTACATGATGGGAAAAAAAAAGTTTAACCTTTCATATATTCCCAGATTGCGACAAGAAACCTGAATAATGGAAGCGATGGGTAGGCCTACAGGCCATGAAACACATGAACGCTGATGGGAGTGCTTGGGCGCCTGGTGGAAAATGTTTACATCTGCTCAGAACATTTTATTGATCTACATATTAATATTTTACAGCTTTTCAAATTCCAGAGACAGATAATTAATTTCAAACTCTTCTCTATCTACACTACCTATCAAGGCCAAACAATATCAACATTGTCGACATTAGGTTTTGGCAGTAGTCATACATTCTAAAAAGCACAAAGGCCATTCTATTATTTTCATTTTATTCCTTTTTTGTATTAAATTGATCTATCATAATTCATATTTACAGGCAAACCATCCCCGGATCCACTTCACCCAGACTTAATCCCAAGTGCCTTCAAGCACTGTCCATTAAATGAAAACAAAGCAGGTATGCAGTTGCCTGTTGCCTTTGTGTCTGAAATAGCACATGGTTCAGCAGAAGAAACAACTGAAGAGGGCCTATCACGAGGTCAAATTATTAAGGAGAGAGAAAAATGCGTTGTGCGCTTTTAGGCCTATACGTGATTTCATTGTCATCTTTGTATAAACGCCTAGTAAATGGGAAGAAGTGATGTTACGAAATGGCACTGATTTCATAGAAAAGTACCCTATTTAGCTAAACGTCTTACTTTACTCTTGCAAATTATGATATTATATCATTATTATCATCATCTGCTTTATTGATAGAATAGTCATAGATGTCAGAATATTCAATTTAAGGTCATTTCAAAGGATCGTCGATCCAGATTTCGGTGTGAGTACTCTTTCAGCTACACAGCTTCTAGGTTTGCTTCATATCACCTTTTCACTTCGGTTTTTGAAGAATCAAAGAATTCATATGCCATTTCCCTTCATGTTGATAGCGAGGTATCTGCAAGCGACGGGTTTGTTTTCACCAATCTTGTGACGTCACACCAAATCGGTCTCATATCATCTCCCTAACCCATTCCATTGTTTAGGGGTGTTTAAGGGGTCTATAAGGGGTATATGAGTACTCAAACCACATCCATTCTCATTTACTCTGTGAAAGATTGCCAAAGTACCCTGGATCACCTCTATAACCCTCGCCGTTGTTTAGGGGTCTATAAGGAGTCTCTAAGGGGTATGAAAATTTTCATACCATACCCAGTCTAAATTTAGGAATTTACTCTGTGATAGGTTTCCATAGCATCCTAAACAAACCTGCAACCATGTACTGTTGCTTCAATATTTAAGCGGTATGATTTTAGTTTTTTTTCGCGTCCTGACCCCTCCTAGGGACCCCTTATTGGAACGCCACATAGCCTAAGCCACGCAGGACCTCGGGACCTTTCTAACGTGCCCAGGAACTCCCCCAACTCCTTGTGGTTGCTGAGGAAAAGTGAACTTAAGTCTCTGGTTATGGTTTATGGTTTTACAGTATGAAAATTGT